GCCCACCAAGCCACGCCATACCACGCCCACCAAGCCACGCCATACCATACCCACCAAGCAGTGGTGGGATTCAAATTTTTTTACTACTTGTTCTGTAGGCGTGGCTTGGTGGGTATGGCTTGTGTGGCAGGGGAAGGATACTGCAAAATCTCCATTCCCTCCCCACCCCACTAACCTGCTTTCCAGCTCCATTCTACTGTCACTATTTGGGGTGCCATTGTAACTTTGCAGTCACTAAATGAATGGTGATAAGTCAAGGACTATCGGTATTTCGTAAGCCCACACTATATAAATAATAATCCTTAATATGCTCCGGGCCTTAAAAAACTAATTTGCTTCACCCCAATAAACTTCCATATTCTTCCTGAGAAAATTAGGTTCACATTTCTTCCTTTCCTCTCCTCTTCTACAATGACCACTCCTCTCACGATTAAGGGTGGTGGTGTTTCTTCTTCCCAGTGGCATGAAGATGGCAAGGGCATTAACCTCCATGCCAAGCTGTACGAGGAAGAAGTCCAGCAACACCAAGATTTGTTTCCTGAGCTCAAGAACCTGAAATCTGCTCCAGTTTTGCAAGCTTGGCTGGCGAATTATGGCTTCAAGGCAAGGATGACCAAGTAAGTTATGGGAAATCTGCGCCTTGGAACTCCAAAGGAGATCATTCTGCAGTGGGAATGTTGAGTATCGCAGATTTAGTGTTTTGGGTTTTCAGGACGCACAGGTGGAAGAAAACTTGCGTGGAATGAAAGGATTTTCCCCCTCCTTTTAAAGATTGAGCCTGATTCAGGAGGAAGATCTCCACGTATGGAAAAAAATGATATTGGAGTCTCCAACCTTGGCAACTTTAAGGTTTGTGGACTTCAATTCCCAGGGGAATTCTGGGAATTGAAGTCCACAAACCTTAAAGTTGCCAAGGTTGGAGACCCCAAAGATCTCTCTATGCAAAACGGCGTAGGAAGCATCATGATCACCCAAGATAGGAAAAATACAGGCAGTCCTTAACTTATGACTGCAATTGAGCCCGGAATTTCTGTTGGTAAGCGAGACATTTAAGTAAGTTTTGCTCCATTTTATGACCTTTCCTGTCACAGTTGTTAAGCGAATCACAACTGTTCAACAAGTAACACCGTTGTTAAGTGAACCTGGCTTCCCCACTGACTTTGCTTGTCAAAAGGTTGCCAAAGGGGATTGCCTGACCCTGGGACACTGCATCCGTCGTAAATAGGAGTCAGTTGCCAAGCGTCCAAATTTTGACCACATGGCCATGGGGATGCTGCAGTGGTCGTTAAGTGTGAAAAACGGTCCTAAGTCACTTCTTTTCAGTGCTGGTGTAACTTTAGACGGTCACTAAATGTGTTGTAAGTTGAGGACTTCCTATAAAGCCCTAAGGCCTTCTGGTCCTAAGAGTTTCGAGACTGGTTGTAGGTGGTCCTGCGTCTTGGAGCAAGACTTCATCTTGACTGTTTCTTCTGCCCTCTGTAAGGATGGTTGCAAGAAGAAGGCATAGAGACCAACACTTCAAACCAACAATCATGGTCTAGCAATGTGGGTTTCTAAGAAGGGATTGGGCCATCTAGAGTTTCTTTTGCTATTGGAATGCTTGGGTTTTTTTTTCTTTTAAATGGAATAAATATGGAAAAAGGGAAATAATGATAAGTTTATTAAATATGTTTAATGAATACATAGAACACAATTGAAAAGAATTACGAGGATTGTTGTAATGAGATTAATATCAGTGTTTAGGATTAATTGAATAGATTAATTTTTTTTTTATCGAAGTTATAAAAAAAATCTTTTCTGAAATGGAAGAGGGAAATGCTATGCGGAATCATTCTAACTTTAACCTAAAAGGTATACAACAGTATGTTATGTAGTTGTTAGGAGATTTTTATTATTAAATCTATAGGTAATAAGTTAAATGTTTATTGGGATATAAAGGGGGAATAATTAAAGAACATGCAAGCTGTAGGGATGGCATACTCAAATTAGTAATTGTGGGGGGGGAATTTTTTTGAAATGTTTGAATGAAACTAGAATTTGTGGAGTGATGAAATAAGAATATGTGATGAAATTGCAAATCTGACAGATAAAAGTACAAAAGTATAATGATTATGAAGATATGAGAGTTATTTGTGATTCAACTAGGAGGAAAGTATTTGGAAAAAATATAGTAGAAATATGTAAAAGTATTGATAAGATATGAAGTTGAATATGAAAGATGAATGTTGCAATTATGGTCATTTTTGTATGAAATGTGAAAACCTGGAATCATGTTGTTCACTAAAAAGAGATGTTTTTAAAAATGTGGAGAACTGAATTAAAACTTTATTTAAAAAAAAAATTTTTTTTTTGAATCCCACCACTGGATGGGGGGGTTAAGGGAGAGGGACTGGACCTTTCCTCTTGCTCCTATCTTCTCTCTGCCCCACAGAACTGATTCTGACATGCTCACTTTTCAGCATGCAGACTTCAAGAAGTTGTCTCCGAGGGCAGAGGAGGCTGAAAGCGCCAAAATGGAAGCTTCTCTTCTCCTGAAGCAGCCCAAGAAATCTAAGAAAAGAAAGTCCACTCAAGAGACCGCCCCAGTCCCACCTGCCTCCCCGGCGACTTCTCTGCCCCCAGAATCTGCAACTACGGAGAGTGAGTGGACAGAGAGCATCGGAGGGTGGATTTGAGTGATTGGCAATACCTGGGATATTCAGCATTTTGTTGTATTACTTTCTGATGCAAGTACTGCATTTCAAGGGTCTGAAAATGAGGGGATAATGTTTGTTTAGTTTATCTTAACTACTAGCCTATTAGCTGTTGACTTAATTGTTGCTCTGTCAGGAGTCCCACAGCAGAAAGACCAGGACAGAAGAAAAAAACATAAATGAGATTTAATCAATAAATATTAAATAACTACTGATTAAAATAGTTATTATGAATGTAATTCCTTTTTCATTTGTTAGTAAGGAACTCCTCCTCCAAAATTAATTGTATTTGTATCAGGTACAGATACATCTTTTTCTCTTTCACAATATAGAAACAGATAGATGATAGATAGATAGATAGATAGATAGATAGATAGATAGATAGATAGATATAGAAACACAGAAAATAGTAAGTAGCAAATGCTACTTATATCTTGCACTCAGTCCCATGAAGTATGTGTATGTGAAATTTTTCAAGAAAGATCTAAGCAGACATGGAAAAGAAAGAACAGTGTTACTGCTTGTTTGGAAAACCAAGACCATTTTTCTCAAACACATTCCACCATGGGAGAATGGGAAATCCAGTTCCAAAGTCGTTGTTTCTTATGATGACTCATAAACTAAGGGAATGCAGCATCATATAGAATAAATGGATGTATGGAAGTATGGAAGCATAGATGTATAGATGGATGGATGGATGGATGGATGGATGGATGGATGGATGAAGTCGTAAGCAAAACAGTTGAAGGTGTTTATGGTTTTACCAGTTGGACAGGTTTGCAAGGTATGTACCTAAATAGGTCAGATAAAGATTCAGGGACAATCCCTACCTCATTTTCCACCTTAACAAAAGGTGGGAATCTATCTGTCATCTCTCTCTCTCATCTATCAATCATCTCACAAATTTCACAGTTTCTAGCCAGATGCCTTCACCACTACACCAAATTGGGTTGCATTTGTCATGTTTAAGGAGTACCGTAGCTGTATTCACTAACAGATCATTATATTTCAGAGGTTATCTGCTCTACAACATTCACTGTCTCATTACTTCTAGAAAAACCCCAGCGTTTGCGTCCTTTATATCAATACATTAACTACGACAACCCAGAAATGAATAGACCATTGGACAAGGAATATGATCTGCCCCCAATGGAGGCTCCTCCTACCCAAGAAAACAAGACAGGCACCATAGAACTGAGAACAACTCCATCAATAGGTAACAATCTGGAAACGAAGAGGGGCTGGAATTGAAAAATAGTTTGGTGCTCTTAGTGATTAGCTAAACCTATTCTTCATGTGAAATCTATGTCTTTCCTTTTTCAAAAAGTCTGAAGTTATGATGCAGTTTGAAATATCTATGCTACAGAACTCAAAAAGCCACTCTGTTTGCGATCATTACCTTTGCTTATCTACCTAGGTCAGAAGTTACTCCATAGTGATCCTCTGTTTTTTTTGTAGCAGTTGCAGAAGAGAAAGGCAGGGAACTGCGGAGTCTACCGAGTGCCACTTCTGGAGCTGCGGTGAAAACAGAGGTGGATAAGTCGACTCAAGTGGACATTGATAAGATGCTCAGCGTCTGTGCAGCTCACCTAGTCCCACCCCTGTCACCGCAGAACAAATAATCGTATCTGATAGGAGGCCAAGCTCGTCGCTCAACGGTGCTTTTATTCCAGAAACTGGAAGGTGCTCCTTGAAGGTCATCTGAGGAGCATCAAATTCTTGTAAGTTTTGTTCATTATAGTCAGGGTCAAAAAGTGTAAGTATTTGTCTTGTTCCTTGCTGTAAAATAAGAGGAAAAAATGGAGGCAGTCTAAACAGGAGTGGAATTGCTCCTGTCTAAATACGGTAAATTAGTGCCAAAATGAGTATAAAAAAAAAATACAGAAAAGTGTGTTCATCATCATCTCGATCCTCCTCGAGCCCTTAGGACATTTCTGAGTAATTACACAATGACCAAGTTGTACATGGGTTTTCTCCCACATTTTATTCCCATAGCAATCTCTCTTATGAGTTAGTTGGTCCAAGCAAGGATAGTAAATAATTTGTACCTGCTTCTTATGGATGACACAACCTTAATTTCTATACGTTTTTAATAGCATCTGGGAAGGACTTTGTCCATCCATCCTAGCTTCGGGGTCTTCCAAAACATTTGGCTAACATTTCCAGAACATCAATAGATGTTCTTACGTATCTTTTGCAGGTTCAAGTGCATACCATTTATACTCTACTACTCCTTACAAAGTAAAGAGATTCACATACAAAATGTATGTCACAAGGTCCCTGTGCTGAACAAGAAATCCCAGAGAACAGAAATGATATTTTTAGCTTTGAATCCTGATGTGAACTTACAGAGGGAATTAAGGAAGAAAAGGATACTCTAATTCACTGAAAATAAACAAGGAAACAAGACTTAAGAGATGGGGTGGTGGACTACATTGTCCTTTGACAATAAAAAGTATTTACTCAAAGGAAACTTCAAATTAAATTATTTTGTCCACTTTCCCATCACTGGATTGTACTTTTTTGGGGGGGGGGGATCTACCAAGGCAAATACAGGTTCCCTAAAGACATCTGAGGAATCTTGAATTTCTTAGAGAGAATTCTATCATCAGCATTTTGCTAGATTCCTTATTGCTGAAGGACAAAGCCATCGAGTGTTCTTATTTAATCAGATTTTCTGCCTTAAAAGGAAGAGGGGAATTTATGACTTCGGAAAATCAGTTCTTTTGACTAAGGCAAAATATAAACAGAAGTTACCACCTGGACCTGTACTTATTTTGCACATTTGCAAGCAATAAATTTTGAAGTATTATTTTGAAGTATTATTTATCAGGTTGTATTTGGAAAAAAAAAAATTCCTACTGCTCCTAATGTGAAAGTATATAAAGAGGATACACTTTAAAAAATTCAGAAGCCAGATCTCTGAATTCCTGGAATCAAATCTTATGTGCCTGTGTGGCTCACGTTTAACACACTGTCATAAATATGAGTCAATTGCCAAGGATCTAAAATTGGATTGTGACCATGGAGATGTTACAATGGTAGTGTGAAAAACAGTCGAAAGTCACTTTTTTCAGTGCTGCTGTTAACTTTGGTCACTAAATGAATTGTTGTAAGTTGAGGACTACCTGTACTGGGAAGAGAAATGGGGGCGGGGGGAAATCATCATTCAAGATCTTGCCTTTTGTTTACTCTAGAAGCTGTATAAATCCTGGACCTCCTCAGTCCAACTGAAACGCTAATCATAAGACTTAGCCGCTAATCATAAGACTTAGCCGTGGTAGCTAAAAATAGCTTCAAAGTCACCAAAGATAAGAAAATAATTAAAAAAATATTCCCCCCTGGGGAAGCAGAGCAGCTGATCTGGTCATTGATTGTTATCTGTTCTTAGTTTCCATTATAGACTATCACTTAAAAGAACACAACGGAGACATGCTTGTTAACGCTTTATCTTAATTTACAGGATTAAAACCCAGTAGGAAAACAATGTAAGAAAAATAAAATAACATTCAAGTAAACGACCTTCATTAAAAAGTTAAGGGTTGTTTTAAAAAGTTACGGTTGAGTCCTGATGATAAAATCTCCTCCAGAGATCCTACAGCATTAAAAAAAAAATGGGAGAAAGGCCAAGGAACCAGAGCTTGCTTCACTAAACTGTTTATCTTGGATAGTCTCCAAAAAAATGCCAAACCCTACCAGATTACAGTTAAAAGAGTAAAACGGATATATTTTCAAGGTCAGCTTCCCTTCCTTTGGACAGTCTTAATGCTTGCTTCATTAAACAGCTGAAAATTCTCACCATCAAAGCACATGGTGTTGTTGTTGTTTTTTTGCTTGGTCAAGAAACCACCTTGGTGGGATTGGCCAGCATGGAAAAAAAGGCCGAAAAGAATATTGGGTCTTGTACACCCTCGTACCGGCAAGGGTACGAAGCACTGAGATGCACAAACAGCAACTGCATTCCTTCGAGTGTTTTGTCAGATCAAATAAAGCAAGGGCATTCAAGAAGATGATGCAAATTAGATAGAACTTAGATTAGATTAGATTAGAACTTCCAAGTTCACCCTGTTCATGCAAAAAGCAGGATTTGGTGCGTGTGTTCTTCTTTCAAGGGAAGGAATATAGGAATTTAATTCTAAATCCTCTCCGTCTCTTCCGTTATCCTCATACATATACTCCCCATTTCACTTGTTTTTGGCTTTGGGCTCCAATCATCTTTTCCTCATTTCTACTTTCATGGATAGACTGAAAAACAGCGGAGAGTCTGGAGCATCTAGCTACAGAGTTCTAAACTGGGATAATTCGATGCAAACTTTCTCAGAGCCATGAAAGACAGAAACCCAAGTTGGGGAAACCCAAGGCGCGAACATCATCTTTACCGGTTTGTCCCTGAATTGTAGCAAAAAATTGTGTATCTGCCATGAGACACCTGTTTCTGATTCTTCTAATCCTCTTTGAAAACCAGTTCTAAAGATCTGACTCCTTATATTCCTTTGGGGAAGCTGTTTCCCATTCAAAAGAGCTGTAAAAAAAACTCAACAACTTCCAATTCCTATTTTAAAAACAACGATCGGCGTTCTCAAGCACTACATGCCAATTATGTTCAACTTGCATTAATACGTGAGCTGGGCGGAGAAGAGAGTTTTGCATCCCAAAAGCTCTTGTTTGGGAATTGGGGGTGGGGGTCAGAGCCCTTGTCCGCTGAGTGCAACTGGCAATTCAAGTTTTCATAACAATACACAAGTTATTAAATTTAAGTAACCAAAGACACGTACACCTGCCACATTTAAAATTCTCCCGGATTAAAAACCCTTCACACACAGATACCCTTCTCCCTTTCCTCTGCTTCCATTCCACCCCACTTCTGTTTCCAATTGTTCTGTTTTGCAGGAATATCTGCATTATAAGTTATTTCTCTGCAGCGCCTCACAAAGGTTCTGATTGGCATCAGGCTCTTCCACCATCTCCTCCACTGTTTCCCATTCCCCAGACCTGCTGGACCTTTTAATGGCATCTACGACACTTTGCATGTAGAGTCCGTCTTCAAAGGAAGCGGCCATGGCCACCGGTTTGGGATCCCAGGTCCGCTGGTCTTCCTGATCCTGGAAGGAAAGGCGGAGCGCTTGCACCAGATAGACCATCCCTTTGAGGTACAGAAGAGGGATGTCTTCAAATTCCTTCTCGGAAAGCTCCGCGTGGACATTCAGGGAGTCTTTCAACAGCAGCTCCTCCTGGGCCGCTGCGTTCTTCTGGCCGTACAAGTCCATCCCGCGAGCGACAAGACGGCCCGCGGAGCCTACGATCATGACCTCGTGAACGAAGGACCCGGGCATGTTGAAGTTCAGAGTCACGGTGCTGCAGATGCCGCCGGTCATCAGCATCTGGAAGAAGCAGAAGTCGTCACTGGTGACGTGACGGATGCCGCTGATGGCTGAGTTCTGCTTGACAAAGGTTTTCAGCAGCCCGTGGACCTTCTCGGCCTTCTGGCTTGTGAGGTGGGTCAGCAAGTCTATGATGTAGGTGCCCATCGTGTGAAGGCCGCCCCCACCCATCAGCTCATCGCAAATCCAGTTGTATTTCTGGCTGAGGAGGCTCCCCCAGTACACACGCACGTCACAGACCAGGATGCTGCCGACGTAGTGCTCGTCGAGTAATTGTTTCATTCTGACAAAGGCGGGTAGAAAGCGCAGGGCATTGCCCACGATGCTCATGAGCTTGGGGTAATACCTAGCAGCCGTGACCATCCTAAAAGCATCAAGAGAGGTAGCGGCTTTCTCACAGATTACGTTCTTTCCAATTCCTGCAAACAAAGGGCGGCATTTTAATTCGGAGACTTTTTAAAAAGAAAATTTTTTACAAACCTTTATTGAAAAATTAAAACATTAAAATACAAAATGCAATACAAATATTTAAAAAGAAAGTGTTATGTATATTACAATCCATTTGGACAGCGCTTACATTTCAATTGTTATTCCTGTGCATATTTTATACTCCTATTTGTTCTTATGTATATGTCTTTCATACATTCCTTATTTATTTAATTCCTTATTTCTATTGTTTATCCAATGGTTAATTTGGAGACTTTTTATTCAACACCCAAACAATGAGAAGAATGAAGCCTTTGAAAGCAGGGCAGCTGTAACTAGCCAATGTCCAACTACTTTGTTTTTATTTTACATTCTGCTGTGATCTGTATTTTTTTTACTGCCTGCAAGGATTTTCAGGCCTCTATACTATTTGTCATGTTTCCCATTAGATTGGAGGATAAGGCGCACCGTAACAGGTGCTCGCATTTCATTTATATTTTTTCTATATGTTCCTCCTGTCATCTTTTTAGTGCTTAAGATGCTCCTAAACTGGTTGTGTTAATTCAGCAGGAAGCAATGTTAAGTTATTTTTAGCAATTCATCCATGAAAAATGAACTTGTCTGCTTGTTTTTGTAATACATGTTATAGCAGCGAGATGGACTGATAACAAGAAATGCAGTGACTAAAAATTCTATTTTTTTTTCGGAACATCTGAAGTTGTTCATTCTATCATTTAAAGTTTAAAGATGTTGTTGTAGTCTTTGTAGATTTCCAGTGCTTAGCAAATTTACAGAAACATGCTGGTTTATTTATAACTTTATCCCTTAGAACTTCTCAGAACATATATAGTTAATTCAGTCATATACCGAAAATGGCACTTTTTTAACTTCTGCAAAAAAAAAAAAAGCATTTATGTTCTGAAAGCCTGGGGCATTATTTCAGTTTTATTTAAGAGGAATATAAATGACTAAGTAATCTTCTTTCTTATAGTGCTGGATAGGCCAACAAGCCACAATAATGCTTGTAATTTGCAGGGGTGAGGCTGGTGAAATATACCCTGAGAAACAGCTACTGAGCTGTGCTGTTTTAGGCAATCCAGAGGCAGTCTGAAAGACTTTGAAGACCTGGCTGTTCTCCCAGGCACTGGGCAGAAAATATTGCCAGACGCAGCAAGGGTGGAATGCTGAATTAATCTTGAGTAGGAAGAAGTACAAGTCTGCATTCAGACAATTGCACGCGGAAGAAAGCGAAAGTCAAGTCAAGCCAAGAATTAAAAACAGCTTATAACGCTCCTGAAATATATAATTTTGCCTGTATGCACCCAGGCAAGCAAATTGCCCTGAATACTCTTTCAAAAGTAAACGTAACTATTTTTTTGCTATATTGCTTAGGAAAAGATTGTGCAAATCGTCCTGAATGTTCCTTCAACAATCAACATAACTATTTTTTTTTGCTATGTTGCCCAGGAGAAGACCGTGCAACAATATTGTTACCTAAACATAGGAAAGTTTTATCTTGTATAAATCAAAATAAATCCATGCAGAAATACAGGTTGTCCTTTCTGTGGCAGTTATAATGGTGATGAGAAAGTAACTATGCAGCCAAGACTCACAGGTCAGCCAACTTTCACAGGTCTGTAAAGCTGAAGTAAGATTGTAAACACAGCCAGAGTTTCATTGAGCCACCCTTTGCTTAATGATCAAGTTGCCAATTTCAGTTGTGGTTGCTAAACAAGGACTACCTGTAATTTGGGTTTAAACAAAACAGGATAGCATTAATACTGGCTGGCTGTCAAAAAATGAAAAGAAGACCTCTGTTCCCAAGGTATTTTTGGCTTAATATGTGGCATCTGCTATGCAAATTCACTCTCGGAAAAGCAAATATGTTTATCAGAAAATTGTACCTGCAAAAACAAAAGCCTGAAATAAAACATATTTCTGGGCACAAAGCAATTGCCTTAAAGCCTAATCATTTTCAAGCTCACCATATGTGGATCCGAGCCTCTGCAGGAAATGTTCTACGCATAATTTTTTTTCCTGTATGTTCCCCATGATCTATTTATTTGCAAGGCATGCAGTGGTATGACCATTTTTCCTATGGGAAATTCATGGGGTCTGTTCTTTTTGGAGTAACAATAGCCCTCCAAGTTTGTGGTTAGAAGCAAACACCAGGCCTTTAACTTTACCAACTGAAAATTCACCAGGTAGGAGATTTTTTTAAAACAACAGAATTCCCAGTTCCCTGATACAATTTGTTCCAGGATGAAACGTTCAATTTTCTGCTCTTAATCACTCAACAACCGTGACCGTCTTCCAGTTGGCTTCTACCCAAGAGAAAACTGAAATCTTATACAATGCCCAAAACTGGCTATGGGAAAAACACCATACCTAGAGCCTTCACAGCTATTTGTCGCGTGAGTGGTGGGGGAATGTTGATGCAAACCAGATCTACATCCTGGTGCAGTAAAACATCATCTGTTCGACTTGTGTAGAAGGAAATGTTCATTTCCTCAGCTAGCTGTTTGGCTTCCTCTTCTGTCTTCCCCCACAGAGCTTCAATGGAGAAGCCTTTTGCTCTCAGGAGAGGGACCAGCACGCGGGCCGAGCTCCCGGTCCCAAACACCCCAACACCGGGAAGCATTTTCATTTTGTGCTCCTTTCACACTCCAGTGCCCCTGGGCAAAGCTCCCAAAGAGCTGGCGATCTCTTCAGCATCTTGTTTCATCCATCGCGTCTACAAGAGAAGCGGGGCGGGGGGAGAAATGGATCATTCAAAAAAAGCATGTTTGATTTGCTAGCTTCCTATTTAACCTAAAGGTAGTTATTTGACTGCCTTTCTATATTCTTTTAAATAGTAATCTTGCCCGTATGCAATAGAGATAGCCCTAAACGCTTGACCACAATTGAGCCCGACATTTTAAGTAGCTTAGTGAGTTTTGCCTCATTTCATGCTTTTTCTCACCACGTTTGTTAAGGGAATCCCGGCGGTTCTTAAATTAGCAATACAGTTGTTAAGTGAACGGGGTTTCCACATTGATTTTGCTTGGGAGAAGGTCACAAAAGGGGATCGCATGACTCTGGGGCACTGCAATGGTCACCAATGTGAGTCAGTTGCCAAGCATCCCAATGTAAATCATGTGACCCCAGAGATGCTGCAACAGCCATAAGTGTAAACGATGGTTTGTTGTTGTTAGTTGCGAAGTCGTGCCCGACCCATCGCAACCCCATGGACAACGTTTCTCCAGGCCTTCCTGCCCTCTACCATCTTCTGGAGTCTACTGAAGCTCATGCTGACTGCTTCAGGGACTCCATCCAGCCCCCTCCTTCTCTGCCTTCTCCTTCTTCTTCTATTACCCTCAATCGTTCCCAGCATTAGGCTCTTCTCCAGGGAGTCCTTCCTTTCTCATGAGGTGGCCAACTCTTTGAGTTTCATCTTCAGGATCTGGCCTTCTAAAGAGCAGTCAGGGCTGATCTCCTCTACGACTGACCGGTTGGATCTCCTTGCAGTCCATGGAGTCTTCTCCAGGCCTCCATTCTTTGGCGCTCAGCCTTCCTTACGGTCCAACTTTCACAGCCATACTTTGCAACTGGGAAAACCATAGCCTTGACTATACGCACTTTTATTGGCTGGGGGATGTCTCTGCTTTTTAGTGCGCTGCTATAAGATGGTTATAAGTCATTATTTTCAGTGCCGTTGTAATTTCAAACAGTCAGCAAACGAACTGTTGTAAGCCAAGGTCTACCTGTAGGCATTGCAAACATTTCCTTTAATGAATTTGCATATGCATTGGCTGCTGTGTGAGTGAGATCATTAGCACAGAGGCTAATAAGCCTGCCTGCATAGATCTGTTCCGTTTCAGATTCTCACCATCTCTTTCCGGACCGGCAGGTAACCCAAGAAGGGTGGAGCTATGTCTCACCACGGCATTCATCACATTTCAAGCCAACCTGCCAACGGCCTTCGTCCAGCAGAGCTTCATGTAGCTACAAAAAATATGGGGAGCGTGGAAGGACCCACATTACAAACGGTTCCCTTCTACACAACCCGTCGCTTTTTAAACTCTGTCCTCTCAAACATGAGCCAAGCCACGGCCCTTCCCTGACTCCATGGTCCAACCTAGAGAGATGCTGGCCCAGAATTCCAGAGCCAAGGAACAAAGGTGACTGCAAAGCCAAGGTAACAAAGAGGAGTCGAAGGCCGCTTGCTACCTGGGTCCATCCATCTGTTTTCTATCCGTGGCTGAAAACAATCAGAAGACTTTGGGGACAAAAACTCCAGTTGGAAGCCAGGCTGGAATGGATCAAGATCTTTTATTATTATCATCGCTGTTGCAGACTGAAGGGGTCTGCGCTGTGAAACAGGATCCGGCTCATTCAGACGGATGCCTTGGAGAGCAACCCCTGCAAAACCGGGGTGGGGTTGTGGGGATCTGTAGGACCCCTGCCACTCATTGGGGGGCTTTGCATTAAGGGCTCTCCAAGAAGGCGGCGATGCATGTTGGGGGGGGGGGCGGCTTAGACAGAGGCAGGTCTTTCTTTGGTGTCCGAGGGATCCCTGACCTGTTAAATGGCAGCGTCAAACCCACAGGCACACCTGGGTTATTACAAACGCTCATCCACACACGCGTGCACAGACACGTGTCGGCACAAAAGTCTAGACTGAGACATCTGTCCGCCCTTGAGGCACATGGAGATCACAGAGGGAGGTGGGACACGGGCATTATTAACACGCACACACGCGCCAATGCGTGCACGCACGTTCACACGGCCACCTGACAAGAGATCCCGGCCCCCACCCCGCTCCTCTCCCTTTTTCCCCCCAGGACCCACCTCCCGTCTGTCGGCGTCCCTTCCTTGCCCTTCTCAACGCGCGGGCTCGGCCGGAGACGGAGAAGAAGCGAAGACGGGCCGCGACGACACGGCCGGCTCCGCGCTGGCTCGCCCCCGACGCCCGCGGCGGCGCGCACGCCTCCCCTGTCGCGAGCGGCGCGCGCTCCGGCCGGCCACCTCCTCTTTCTCCCCCCCCCCACCACACAGGAGGGCGGAGCGCTCTGCGCGTGCGCCGACGCGCGGGGCGGAGCCAGGACAAAGGCGGCGGCGGGAGCTGCGTCCCTCCCTCCCTCCCTCCCTCGTGTTTCATAATGAGGGGGAACCCCACTGACAGCTTCCGGGTCCAATATAGCATAACATAATTGAGTTGGAAGGGACCTTGTAGGTCATCTAGTCCAACCCCACCTCCCTCCTCCCAAGCAGGAGACCATGCACCATTTCTGACAAATTGGCAGTCCAATAAATCTCTTCTTGAATGATTCAAGATTCCCTTCAAATGTTTTTCTTTTCCATTATAGGTGTTGCCAATCTGATTTACATGCCACGCTGACCTTATGTTTTCCTTATAAACTTCGTTTAAATTTTGCAGAAGGCAACATTAGCTGCTTTAACTCACAGTGGGCAGCAGGAGGCGATGTGCCACCCTACAAAACCATGTTGTTACTGATTTCTAGCCGCAACTTTCAAAATACTTCATAGGGCTCTTGAGGGGATGTCAAACAAAATGGGAGGGGTGTGGGATTTTCTTCCTGCTCCTGCTAGCGGAGAAAGGATAGATCAACCTGCAAAATGTTACATTTTAATTTATCTTTCAATGCTTTAATTCCATCAGTCCTTTGATGTCCAAAGGACTGTTTGAGAACTTATTTCTTAGGATATTCCGGGTTTCTTAGGATATACTGGTAGCAATAACATTTAGCACTTAGATTTATATTATACACCACTTTACAGTGCTTTACATAAATCTCTAAATGGTTTAACATTACAGAGCCAGCAGATTGCACCCAACAATCTGGGTCCTCATTTTAATGACAACTTACCACCACTGCAGCATCCCCAATGATCACATGATCAAAATTTGGATGCTTGGCAACTGACTCATTTTTATGATGGTTGCATCTTTTGTGACCATCTTCAGACAAGCAAAGTAAAAAAGAATCCAAGGCAACTGCCTGAGGTTGATAATGAGTTTTATTGGTGGCAAGAATAATCTTAAAATCTCACTCCTGGAACCATAGGCCCTTAATTTGCAAAATTAAAGGAGATGAGGGCATTAAACTCCACTTGACTCCTGCAACTGGTAGTTGACAAAAATGGTGTTGTTTCTTACCAAGCCTGAAGCAGATGTGAGGTGCGGCTCATCATGATATCCACACACACACACACATCATTTTTGACAGGAATAATATAAGGCCAACAATAAGATTTTCAAATCTCTGGAAAAACAGTCTCTTTGGATAATTTTCCATAATAGGAGTAATGAAATTGGTATTTAGTCCCTTCAGTGTATGTGTATGTGTGTGTGTGTGTGTATGTGTATGTGTGTATATGTGTGTATATGTATATGTATATGTATATGCATATGCATATGCATATATATATTCTTAAGTTTTCATGGGTACTTACATGTATGGTATTCAGCTTTGTTCGGGTATTTTCCCATGTCATTATAGTTGTGCTTTTAAAGTTGTAGCAACGTTTCGGCAGAATCTCATCTGCCATCATCAGGCTTCGGTATTGTGATGATGCCTGATGATGGCAGATGAGATTCTGCCAAAACATTGCTACAATTTTAAAAGCACAACTATAATGACATGGGAAAATACCCCCCAAAACCTGAATACTACACATATAAATACCCGCAAAAACTTATATATATATAATATAGAATAACAGAGCTGGAAGGGACCTTGGAGGTCATCTAGTGCAAATGATATTGTCTAAATATAAGAAGTTTAAGGTCACACACCCAGTCATTCTTGAAATCTGGGCTCCAAGTAGAGCTGAAACAAAATCTGTTATCGGTAGTTGGATTAGATTAGTGAGATCAAAGATCAGTTGTGACACAGATCTTCTTAAAAACTTCCAGTATTGGAGAATTCGCAACTTCTGAAGGCAAGTTGTTCCATTAGTTAATTGTTCTAACTGTCAGGAAATTACTTCTTAGTTCCAGATTGCTTCTCTCCTTGATTAGTTTCCATCTTGCTCCTTGTCCTGCCCTCAAGGGCTTTGGCGAATAGCTTGGCTCCCTCTTCTTTGTGGCAATCCCTGAGATATCAGAACACTGCTATCATGTCACCTCTAGTCCCTCTTTTTATCGGACCAGACATACCCAATTCCAGCAACCGTTCTTGATATGTTGTAGCCAACAGTCACCTAATCATTTTTGTTGCTCTTCTCTGCACTCTATCTAGAGTCTCAACATCTTCGTCAGTTTTCTTTCTCTTGTTCCTGACATGTCATTCTCATCGGTATTTTGCAGCCCAGAGCTTATGGCTGTAACTCATTCTGTTAACTGACAAACTACACAACTGCCATCATTTACATGACACATACTAGCCAAACCCTAAAAAATACCACAAAATCAATAGCCAAACCAGCCAAACTCTAAAAAAATATCCAGCAGAGTCACTATCTGGGTTTACCACGAGGGACTCTGCAAGTCATGTTAGTTCCAAGAATGGCTTCTAGATTCGTACTACATTTGTGTAGTACATACTACATTTGTGTAGAACAAAATGTGTCCTATTCGCGCAGGCTCCTTGAAATTTATCTAACTGCAACAATACCAGATAGGGGTGATTGCAAGCCAACTCTTTCATCTCCTAGAGGGGACATAAAAGATCATAGGGCATTTTATTATCAGTTACAACTCACAATTATGTACAAGAAGCAGATAATAATTTGAGCAGGATATTAAAGACGTCGATATTTAAAAAAAACAAAAGCAAACAGGAAAGGTGTACACTTTCTTCTTTACTAAATGGCAGCTGTAGAATTTTACTAGCTGAACAAAACAAAACCTTCAGGAATTAAATCTTGTAATTATACATACCAGGAGCGAGTAACAAGCTGAGCAAGATTCTAAAAAGAATAATATTAAAAAGTGGACCAACCAGGAAAAGTACGAAGTGTCTTTTTCATTAAATGGCAGCTGTGCAATATTACAGCTCCAATAAAACAAATGGAAACAAACCACTTTGAAGCTTAACATAATGTGTGAATCCATAGTGTCCCCAAGAAACAGTCCACACCTCAGTGCTACCTCTGATTTTCTTAACTGGAGAAACTGTATCCTGTGCTGCAGAGGACAATCTGGCCAGCTTGCTCATCTCTGCCATCACTACAGGATAAGATAATTAATTGTGATGTAAATCTTTTGGGTAATTTGCTACTCAGTTTTCAAGGTCACACTTTCTTCTGTCTTCCATCTGGAAGCTTGGTTAGTGTAGATGGTACCTTCAGTTCTTTTCTCCCTGACCACAACCTTTGGGAACAAGCAGGTGTGGGGATAAAAACAGGAGGCCCCCAGTCACCTGTGAGCACCCTGGCCAACTGAGGACTTGCATCGAGGTCATTCCAAACTCCATTCAACACAATAACTACTCTACCTGCTAGATTAGGTGATTCTCACCTTCGTTTCGTTTCCTTCCAGATCAAGGATTGTAACAAAGACCCACTTGGGTGGGTAGGGCAGCTCCAGAAACCTCTTCACCAAACCCAGACCGATCCCCCGATTGGATCCTGTCACCAGAACACTGAAAACGCAGAAATTCAGTGATGTTGCCATCTCTCCAGGAGCTGCAGCTTCTGCTTCCAATTTGCTTGGAACACTTCCTTCAAATATCTCTTCCTTTCATTGGAAGGACTATAATAAGGAATACGGCACACCCCCTTCTAAAACTGTTGAAAAATCTTAATAGCCTGTCTTTCCACGACAAAAGTACTCCATACAGTGGCTCCCCATAAGGAGACCACAAGACAAAAGTCTTTGGCAGGTTTTAAAAGCTCTGGAAGTCAGGGAAAAACCATTTCACCTAAACTGTAGTTCGGTGCCCTCAAAAGAACTCTGGGTTTGTTTATTTCCTTTCTTGAAACATCCAGCCTAGAAGGGCCCTTAAAACAATGACCAGATGTAAAGTTCAAATGAAAGAATGTTCCTTTTTCCTGCCTGGAAGGAGTGGCAAATAATTACTCTCCTGTTCATTTCAGGTACAGGTATATTTGTAGCTTTGCCAAGATTGTAACATGCACAATGATGGAGGAATACTGAAACACCCACAATAGAAGAAAGGAGTGTAAAAATAGCAACTCTTGCAGAAATAGAAAAACTCCCCTGTTTGGATAAGTACAAAACAAAATATAATTTTATAAAATATTGCAAACCTTGTGGACATTTTTGATGGAAATGGCAAAAAATGAAATAATAATGAATTCTGGATTTGACGACTAAAAAAAGAATGGAATATGGGATTTTGTAATATTGAAGAGGTAAGAAGGACAATGAGTTGGTTTATAATTGTTGAAAAGATGGTTGGAAGTTGCTTATTTTTTTCTGATTCGTATTTTTTTAATTATCTTTCTTTTCTCTTTTACTTTGTTTTTCTCTCTACTTTTGCATATGTGTGTGTGTGTTGATTTGCATATATGTGTTTATAGGGATATGTTTAAGGTATATGTTGTGAAAAAAGTATTGGAAACTAACAGATTATGGTACAGGTTTGATGTAAGGTTTAATTCTTCATCCTCTCATATTGCATAAGACACATTAAACATTAAATATTAATTTTAAAAAATCCTTCCGAAGGAAAGAGAAAACAAAACCAAGATTTTCATGCCATTCAATTATTTATTTATTTGTTTGTTTATTTATTTCTCCTCACTTTATTATATGACCATGATGTTAAGGTGGGACTGATGGATCACCAGGGAAGTCGCTGAC